AGTTTGGACAGGAGCTGGCAACCGCACCCCGCTCCGGCCGCCATCGCCCCCCCCAGCCCTACGGCAACTGGAGTTTCGAGAGAAGCTGGCCCCCCCAGCCCGCTCGGCCGCCATGCCCCCCCCAGCCCTACGGCAACTGGAGTTTCGAGAGAAGCTGGCCCCCCCAGCCCGACCCGGAGAGTTTCCGTCCCATGAGGACCAGCACGCCCAATATGCAAGGTAGAGTACCAAAATTGTTTAATTTCTTACCCAAGGCCAAACGAATTATATTTTTGGTGACTCCTCTTGCTGATGCCGATTCTGATGTAGTATTGCACTTCTGAATGTCTTGGGTACTGTGTATCTTGTGACTTTTGGGAATATAAAATCTTATAAATGTTCGTGTTCATCAATGCATATTGGTAAAAATGCTTTTACTGTTGCTATTTTAGAACATGTGTCACGGCCGCGGTCCCCCCTCCATATAAATGATTGGCTGGATGCGGACAAAAATAATTTCAACAAAAACACGTTAAACGTAAGTCTTTGCAATTTTCGTTATACACATTACCTTTAACACAGAATGTATATCATATTCCAGAGGGCATTGACAGTTGTTAGCCTGGGTACCATCTGGTTTGTTGCCGGAAGTCTCCTTTGACAAGGTCTTGCACTCATAATTTGCCCCGAAAGTAAAAACAGACCAGACGCCGTGGTTAGGCGCTTATATACGGCCTGGTGCCTGGCCGGCGAGCAAACTTCGGAGGATGGTATCCAGGCTACGCTACAAAGCTGTACTTGGTAGCTTTGTTCACATTTTTGGAGTGTAGTCTCTAGCAGATGTTAGAAGGAACTTAGAAGGAATTACATTGACATGTAAGGCATGTATTTGTATTTTGGTTTGACTTGTAACCCCGCCCTCACCCTCGACCGTGTTGAAATGCGGTCATATGTATGTACCGAACAAACTTTCTGGTTTAAATAAAGGCTTACTACTATTACTACTACTACTACTACTACTACTACTACATGTAACAGTGTGATGTCCCAAGTCCTAGTTCGTCTGTGGCATTCATACACACTTCGTTCACATGTATGGGCTCTAGTTGTGGCTGAATCTCTCCGAGGCTCTGTTCATAACACACTATTGTGGTACGTAAATCATTAGTCACAAATTACGTCCTATGTCATCTGTTTATCACCAAATTCCTGCTGTGCCAAAGAGTTTTCTAAACTCGAGGGAGTTGGGTCGAGTTGACCAGGCAAATTAATCTCCAAGCAGATCATGGTGTCCGCAAAGACAGAATCGAACGGGCCACAGATTACAGGCACATGGGCCGAGTTGACTGGGCCAAGTTGGTAATGGTCCGTGTCGTCCGACATTCCGATTTGAGATGGACCTCGTATCAGAGATGCCACTTCGGGAGCCTTTCTGTCCCCGTACATTTCTCAACGAAGAAAAGATTTTTACTTCTCACGCTCACATCAACGTTTGGTATATGGTGAAATCAACTAGCCTCCTTCGCAGATTTGTGCGGCGTTATTTTCTTAGTTCGGTGAGTTATGCCGCGAAAGGACGATTTTGCCACCGAGGGAGTTTTGCCGGGAAGAGATAACCTGGGTGCCAGACCCATAGCACACTGGTGTCACTGGACACAAAGTATGCTCACTTAGGTACTTTGTGTCCAGTGTGTTATAGGTCTGGCACCCAGGCTAGAAAGAGACGGTTGGGCAGCGAAACCGTCTCTCCCCGGCAAACCTCCCTCCACGCCCTAATGTGCGAAGGAGGCTACAAATTAGCATGGTAAACTGTTACCGCAATTTGCGAGGTATTGTTGTTCTAGCATGTCCGGACTATTTCGGAAGAATGTTTACAACAGTTTGGAGGGACAATTAAATCCCTCGCTCAACGCAGATGTTTTGAGCGGCTCCTAACAGGAGTGTTGGATCGTGTGCTGTGCCTATGTATGTAGGTAAATTTTTCGATTCTGCCCCCAAAATAAATCACCTTGGAGTTAAGTTAAATCCTTCCGCATAAACTGAAAAGTGCTGCCGCGTGCAAATTATAGTTGATCCCTCACCACGAAAGGTTTTCTCGGCCGACACGATCTACAGGTCTTTACATAAATCCTAGCCAACAAATCGAAGTATTCGTGAACCGTGTACAGCTTTTGTCTTATCAATCTCAAAATAACTCGATACCAAGGATGAAATATCGAAAGGTTGCAACCTAGGCTAGCCCGGAAATAGCTTTCTTAGTAGACTTTAAAAAGTATACTACACTGCCCAGAGGGGAGTTTATGTCGGGAGGAACGCACCACAGCATGCATTCTCCACCGACGCTGGTAGAAGTCGGTAGAAATTGCGCCGGCTGGACCATGCGGGGATATACGCAGGCACCGAGTACCGAAAGAGCCCCGATCGCAATGGAAACCCGAGAGATAATGCAGATATGCAGCTGTCAGTGCAAAAAAAAGTAGTTCTCTGCGAGACAACGGCAAAGACAACAAAAAGTAAGGACAGGTTACCGATTCTCTGTCGGAAAACCTAGGCCTACGTGTTATGGAGAAATCTACTCCCTGAAAGTTCAGAGTCGCAGCAGTTTGGAAATTGCAGAGCGCCAAAAAAGACGGAAAACATGGAAAATGCATGCCGACTCTTTTTTTCAGGTTGCTAGTCAGGGTAAACGTCCTACAGATTATGCAACTAAAAGCCCTACACAAAAATGGTCTAGCACCTAACGCCGTCCTGAGAGAATGGTGGAATCAGCTATTGGCCAGCAAAGGGTCATCGTAGTTTAATCTCCAAACAGATCTTTCTGTGAGGATAGGACAGCATCAGCCTGTATCCATTTCCCCACCGACCAAACAAATGGATATATGTCTACTAGTGTAAGTAAGTATCTGCTAGTTGGCCTGTGGCGAGGCTTCCGGGACCGCGGTCGGACTCCCCGGCTGGAACGTGGCGACCTTTCATCGCGCCCCTGCCAGATCGATGGCAATTAACACTGGACAATCACAGTTTGATAAGCAGGAATTGGATGTTGATAGGAAGCAAATTGGGTGTTGATAAGTCATTCTTCAAGCTGACTGCCTACAGGAATTTGTTGGCCCATAAACTCCTTTCGCCCATTGGATACTGTTATTGCCACCGATAGCTTGGAAATTAATCTTTGTTGAAATCCGAGAAAGGAAAGGTCTTTGGTAATCGGCTGGATACTGTCTTGCCGATCGGACAAGTGTATGCCCACCAGAATCTTCAGTGACTAACGTGTTCTTTTTTTAAATAATTCATTACCTTATTGCCTATAGTATAATACGCTCTGAGCTTACAACTTGAACTGCAACTATTGGCACTTCAATCAATTTTAGCACTCACAATCCAACAATACTTGTCGACATTAACAGAGACTGTGCCGAAACACATGGAAGACCATCGTGCCAGACAGGGAGGTCCAGGGGAAAAGACAGGACATGGGTCTTATACGGCAGACTGTACGTCAGGTCCTTGCCGACTTGCCTGCCGTACGTGACAACAGCGACGCCCGGAAGCTTTTGACCGACATTATTGTCAGGAATGGGCAGAGGCGACGGTATCGCCAACAACAGAAAGCGTATGTAATAGATAATTCCCGTTTACCTACCAAGCTTATTATGCACATCAAACATTTATAGCATTTCTGTTGACCGTCATTTTTTTCCTGCGTCCTTTTAATCTTTTGCCACCGGAGACATTAGCTGAGCCAGAGGGAGGAACGGTCATTCATACTTACTAGTACTTAAGTCAAACACGTTTCAATACAACTCCCCATTCATTTGGTTCTTTCTTCCGTAGGAATGGAGCCCAGACGTCGGAAGGGACAAACGGCGACCGTCAGACGGGTGATGGAGACGACCGTCAGACGGGTCAGGGAGGAGAGAGTCAGACGGGTGATGGAGACGACCGTGAGATGGATGATGGAGGAGACAGTCAGACGAGTGTTGGAGACGACCGTCAGACGGGTGATAGAGACGACCGTCAGATGGATGATGGAGGAGACAGTCAGACAGGTGATGGAGACGACCGTCAGATGGATGATGGACTAGACAGTCAGACGGGTGATGGAGACGACCGTCAGACGGGTGATGGAGACGACCGTCAGATGGATGATGGACTAGACAGTCAGACGGGTGATGGAGGAGACAGTCAGAACCAGGAGGCTGTGCCTGCTGTGGAGCAGGAGACTGAGCAGGCTACTTTGGAAGGGGCATTAGAGAAAGGCGACTTCGTCGCCGTTGCCTATGAGAGGAACTGGTACATGGGAGAGGTGAGGGGAGTAGGTGAACACCATGTCCAAATCTCGTGGCTCAAACAAACAACACGAAACCGATTCACATCGTCGGGGCCACGGGAGGAGGACATTTTGAGGGTGTTCATCTTCTCCCGGGCAGATGCCATCCCAGTATCGACCAGGGCCTATCAGCTGGCTAACTATAAAGAGATTTCCGAGAAATACATGAGGTATTGCGACAGGTATTTCTAGAGTCTTTTATAGTTCAGCCATACCATAGGCCCTAGGTCTCTGAATAACCTGAAATTTGGCATAGAGGTAGAGTGGGAAAATACCCCCCAGACTTTTTTTGAGTGTTTTTAAAAGTGTTTATTTCCCCTTTTTTGCCATTTTTAGGCAGGAAAAAAGTACACGTTGGGCTCTGGAGCCCTTGTATTAAACCCAGATGACCTGATATTTGGTATAGGGGATACCTTGAATTTTTCCCCCTTTTTTTGGCTCCTGTGCCCTAAACGGATATTTGGTATAGAGGTACCTTAAGGATATGCCCACAGAACTTTAGTCATGCTTTTGGCATACATATTTTCAGACAAAATGTACATTTTCGGCTCCTGGGCTCCTGTGGCC